ACTAGATGAATGGGCAACAAGTTGCCTATCAGAAGTCACAAAGTTGATAATTACTCATGAGACTGGCCACGATCACATGAATGCTTCCTCCATTCAACACAACAGACGATAACAGTCATGAGGTAGACTAACAGTAACAAAAGGCCCCAGGGACTTTCTTCACTTTCAGAGTGAATGAGTGAATTTAGTTTAACGCTGCTGTTAGCAATATTACAGCAATATCACGGCAGGCGACACCAGAAATGGGCTTCACACATTGTACCCATGTTGGGAATCGAACCCGGGTCTTCAGCGTGACGAGCAAACGCTTTAACCACTAGGCTACCCCACCGCCCCTTCGCTTTGAGAACCTGAAAGTGTGGTAATCTAGACTTGCTACATATTCTAAACTTGCATGTTATAAAATAGGAATATTTGTTTTCACGAGGGTTTGTATGGCACTGGCAGACTGCCCATAAGGTAACAGCATGTGATATATACATAACATAGATCCTCATCTCAGGGTTTGGGGTTTAACACTGAACTCAGCAATATCCAATAACGGTCTATAAATAATTAAGTCTTGCCACATGAGCATCAATCTACACAGTAGACATTCAATGGCCACACGATCCTTTAAGTCGATCCTGTGTTACGGAAAATCAAATCTAACCCTGATCTTACCCTTGTGAGGGTAATCACAACTCATAAACAATTATAATGCAGGTCAAAGATAATTTGGGAGGAATGAATATTGTGGTACATGGATTACAGTCAATAAAATAAAATTCTTAATTACAAAAGACAGGAATATATCTCAACATGTTCAGTATATACTAAATATATACAAAATATACTGAACGTTTTGGACGGGCCTTTTTACCTTTGCCCCACACTTTGTCATTTGGAAAGTGTATTATCATACGACATTACATATTAGTATCATACTACAACCTTACTTAATAATGTGATACATACGATCCTATCATGACCCAGTATATCACCGATACCCAAGTACTGTATCATATGAATATCTTCCTACTATACTTACCAATGGATTATAAGTGAAAACATGTACAACTTTACATAAATTATTATGTTTGTTATAGAGAGGGAAAAAATGAAGAAGAAAAAATATATGATCCAGCTAATATTAGCCAGGGAGAACATGAAAAGTGAACACCAAACTTACAAGAATGAACACACTCACTGACTCAGTAATCTGCTGTAGATGTCAATTGTCATGACTTAACAAGCTGTGTACAGGTGGTGTCACATGTCCTGATTTAACACACAAAATCTCTGATAATATATAACATGTATGATCCGCACCAACTGTCTTCAGAAATCTCTAATGTCAGACTCTTATCAAAGAGACACTGGCACCAGTGTTTCAGATTTCCTGACCTAGGACTTTAACTACCCAAAGAAAAACAACTTTCATTTCTCCCACCATATTCCATTTCTCCGGCACATCATTTTCACAGACATATATATGGCCATGTAACCCATAATTATCAGAGTCAAGGAGGATTTCTGCTGTTTACCACCTTATCAATTAGACAAGAACATACGATCTCAACATTTCTCAACGGCTCCATAATGTAAGCAAGACTACCACAGTTACTTCCCCTTACTATGATAATCACCTCAGTTGCAAACAAATTCCGTCACATGACTGATACAATAAAACTGAAACATTATTCATTTGAAATGTTTAAACTTTCATGGAGCTGATGGATGCCTAAATATAGAATTTCAAGACTTTTCACAATGACATGTCGTCCATACCATTCAACAGTTCTTCACCAAAAGCACTGCTATATTAATAACACTTGTTAATATATCTAATACTTAATGAGAAGAAAAGACAAAACTTCTGCTGAAAAGACTATCAATATAGCTTTACAAACACAACAAAGTGTTTTACGGTGTTTACCAACATTTCTCAAATTACAGGATGCTGGATGATCTATAGAAGTTCACTAGGACATATCACAACATGCATCCAGTACGTCATCAAATGTATACAATAACATGAGTACAATGTACAAAATAATGGCATTTCTTCCAAACAATTCCCTGACATTAATCCTAATTCTTAAAAATATTTAAAAGGAAAAAAAACATATTTCACTATGAAATGGGAGCATGTGCCTGCCATGTAACGACCTATCTTACCACGTAATTAGATTTCTTGCATCGGCTATGATTTTCCTGACCTTTTAAACAAGAAAAAACACAAGCTTCTGTATTGGGTAATTTGTTACATACAGTTACACGAATGGAATCAGCTTGCAAAAAGCACCATTGGACTTGCAGCTAGTGTTAGGCAAGGTGTGACATCCCTTGCACTGAGAATGTTGAAAGTATGACAGCTTTGTGTTATATATTGATAGAGTACTGGATCAAGGGTAAGCCTGGGGGGAAACTGCTTGCATAAACCCAGAAACATATCTTAAACTGACAGGGGATAGACCAACTGTCCACAACATATCCTAGACTTTCATTGTGTTTGTTTGTATATAGTTTCATGCAAGACCTGTGAATGTTGGATGAACTACCCAAATCTGTTGTCTCCAAGAATGTTAATGAAATGTGTTGAAAGTGATAATAAAAAGAGTATTTATACCATCAGGTTCATGAGTTAACTGTTTATCATTGTTCCCTTCTTCTCCCCTACCAACCCCAAAAAGACAATGAAGTTAGGAATGCAGAAATTCAGTTCCAAGTTTTTAACTGCAGTAGTTTGAATGTTTTTCTTGGTCATCTTGACACCATTGTAACAATCAAAAATGACAGTCTTAAAATTGTCACTGAGTGATAGAATCCTGTTCTTGAATGAAAGCAACTGTTCATGCTGTTTGAACAACTGAAGAATGATAGGAATGAGACCTCAAATCAACAGGGATGACGACCATTGCACAACATTCACCAAGAAACATATATGTGGAGCCTAAACTTTGAAATAAACAAATCACTATACAACTCGTGAAAGCAAAAGACAAAACATTAAATACATTCACATATCACATGAAATTTTCTGCTAGATATGAATACGAGCGTACAAATGTAGAGAACCAAACCCAGGTCTTAGGCATGATGGACAAACACATTAAACACTAGGCTACTCCGCCACGACAGGACATACATGTACATTCATGGAAAGGTTCTGATAATAAGCACTGTGCAGTAAATTCTTTCAACATATGTTCATTCCAAATTAATACATGTGTTCCTTTTCACATACACTGTCTTGAATTGATACATAGTGGTGTTTTTGCACTGTGACGCAGTGCCAGACATAGCTAAACCTTGTATTGCTCTTATCCTAATATATTTACAGGCTAATACATAAGTAACAGAAAGGCACACTGCCAGGCAAGACATAACAGTATGAAACGTGTATTGACAAATATACCTGCATTGACATTTGCTGTTTGCCGGATTTAGCAGTTTTCAGGTTTTTCCCAATATATTATCCATGTTTACAAATATGTTGATGGTGACACATATTATTACAATGTTAGAAGAGAAAGAAGCTTGTTAAGTATGATGTTTAAAAAATGTTGCTTATTCTTCTTCCTAATCATATTCAAGAATTGCACCGAAATATGAAATCATTTTCAGTGTTTGTCCCTGTTTCGTTCAGTTGCTGTCCATGTCATAGTCAATCAACATTTTCGAATGATTTAATGTTGTGATATGATTCATATGTCATGTGAAGAGCTTGAAAATTAACAATGAAAGACAAGGAATCCTTGCAGAATCTTTGTAACACAAACCATTACCAGTTCCAACATTCAGGGGTTCCATAGATTTATATACCACACAAGACCAAAAGCACCCAATCACCCTTATATATTTAGAACACATGTGAACACAAAACAAAATCCAACTCCAACAACACAAGTCTGATATTTTGATGCACATACTGTGTCTCAAGATATTGATATTGTATTGAGTTTCATATAGAACTATATTCTTTGTGAACTGCTGCTACCATGCCCTCAAGGGAAAAACTAAGTTTGTTGATAGTACACATGTACATGAGGACATTAATTTGCAAGCTGACACATGTGAGTCATGCTTTACACCAGCAGGGAACAATGATTATAAGCATTCACAACTTGGTCATCATCGTAAAGATTAAGCAGTCCTTCATACCCTTCAGGGTAAAGATGAAACGGAGTGTTTGTGACAGTTTGTTTATGTCAATCACACGAATGGCAGGTTGTGCATGTTGAAAACCCAACACCATAAATCGATGCAACACAAATATGACAGCATGGCAAACCCCCTTCAATTGTGAATGTGCATTTGAAGACTGAAAGAAACCATCTTGAACCAATGCATACACAGTAACCTGCGTCGATGTACTTTTTTGCATAAATATAAAATGTATCTTAGGTGTGTTGTAATATCATGATATATATAAACTTAAATGAGAGATTCTCATCAGATTGTTTCAAGGTCAATTATGTAGCCAGTTAGATGAAAACTGATTAGATCTTAGCTGACGGTTACCAGAAATTACAAGGCTGTACACGTGCTGAAAAATCAATGACAGATCAGTATACAAGTGATAATGCTATGCAAATGGAACATATTTCATCACGGACGGTGATCCCATGAAGTGTTCATCATGTTCATTCTCAACGCCAAATACAGACCTATATAACAAATACGTATATGGTAAAAACAGTGCCACTGTCTGTGTCTTCTAAATGACATAAAATCATGACTTTCACTTTACAAATATGCCGGTATAACCTCATGAGGATTCTTTAGCAATTCTGGAACATTCCGGCCTCATGCAAGCGGAACAGTGTCTCTTTACGCCACAAAAGGTTGATTCAATAAATTCCTTCACCTTTGATTAGATCAACTGCCTTATTGTGCATTATAAATTACAGATCTTTCCTCCAAGCATCGATAGCACAGTGATCTGTTCAGTGGGGAGGATGTGACCATAGACCAGCGTGTCTTTGACTCAAGTGGCCTTCTCAATTGTTTCTCACCTTTGAAACGTAGTTCACCAGCTGGTTCAAGAATCAACACTTGTTCATTTTTAGCCATTTCAGAGTATCCTCTCCGCTATAATCGCAGATATTGTAAATAAATTTCCACGACTAACGCATCTGCTCCACTCACTCTCTGTTAGCGTGGACTGCGCATGCGCAATTCATTCTTGTCTGAGTAATATTAGTATAAAAGTTAGGCAGGAAATACCATCCGATTTAGGAAGCATACAAAACTTGTTTACACGTAAACAATTTTATAAAAATTGTTGAAAATTCGTTTGAAATATTTATTTTACAGTTTTAATATTCTTTAAATGTCCATGTCTATATTACAAATGCCAACCAATCATGAGTGCACCTTTTTCAAACGTTATTACTAAAAGAGGAAATCGGAAGTAAACACGAGCACGAGCTTGGTGATCGGGTAAACAGTAGCCGAGGTATCATCGTCATAACTAAGGATGGCTGATGACATAGATGATTTATTAGATGAAGTCGAAACTAAATACTGTACACGAGGAAATACTACAACGGGATCCCACAAAAGGATAACTGCCAATAAACCCAGGAACAGGTGCGCGATTTCACGTTACCGGTGATGGGCCAAGTTGGAAATATCACGTTCCAACAGAAATCGAAAAGTGGATTCAACTGGTTTCAAAATTGGAATTATATTTATATATATGAAATATATATGTGGTCATTTTATCCTTATTTGAATACGGATTGCGATTTGTAGGGATCTATGTCCTTGGATGCATCCATTATCATGATTATCAGATATTTTGAATGAAGATTTAAAAATAGTTTCCTCTGCAAATATGGTACGGTTTATTTTTTGTTTATTGTAGCACTTAGTTGTTCCTACTACTAGAAGGCAGCCTGTAGATCCAGTGACTGACTTTATGAATGTTGGTTTGGATTCGATGGATTGCTATCAACGGAATTACACATTCTGACCATCCCATCTATTTAGTTAGCTCTTATGACAAATATAGGTTGCTTTTGGCCTATTTTCATACCCAGAATCCCAACAGATGCAAGGTCATCAGATACAAGCAGAAAAAAATTAATTTATTGTGCTTTACTACAGTTAACATGTGCTGAATTCGTCGTCGGCTCAGGTACTACAGATATGTACCCAGGGGCAAATACAGCTTTTTGACTGACTGAGTGACTGAGTTTGGTTTTACGCCGCTTTTAGCAATATTCCAGCAACATCACGGCGGGGGACACCAGAAATTGGCTTCACACAATGTACCCATGTGGGGATTCAACCCGGTCTTCGGCTGTTTGAGAAAGTGGGGGTGTATGTAGTTCATTTTCACCCGTTTTCACAGTTCATGTTTCATGCAAAAAGTCCCATTTGCCTGATTACTAGTGATACTGTGCATCGCGAAATATTCGTCATTGTGAATGCTCGTTTCTTATATGGTGCAGAACAGACATGTCTTAGGGTTTGTTTCTGTATTCTGATTTTGGCCAGGGTACGTTTTGTGTACAGAAACAAACCTGTGGTACATATCTGTAGTTTCCATGCCGGCAACAAAACCTACAGCTTAACATGTGGTCCCTTTCATCCACCTTTGAAGTTATGTAATCAAATTAACCATGAGTTAGCGTGCCTTGTTCCTTTTCATTGAGAACCTTTCAGTTGTCACTAGGAAGAAGAAAATTCCAATTCTCACTCTTACAATGTGTGAAGTTGATTTCTGTTGTCCCTGCCAAGATATTGCTATAATTATCCAAAAGTGGCTTTAATTTGTGAATTTATTAAGCATATTCTAAATATATGTTCATTACCCCCTAACTTTGTCAAGTTTACTTTTGCAAAAATGTATGTATTGCTGGTGTTTTTCACTAGGAAGAAGAGAATTCTAATTCTCACTCTTACAATGTGTGAAGTTGATTTCTGTTGTCCCTGCCAAGATATTGCTATAATTATCCAAAAGTGGCTTTAATTTGTGGATTTATTAAGCATATTCTAAATTTATGTTCATTTCCCCCTAACTTTGTCAAGTTTACTTTTGCAAAAATGTATGTATTGCTAGCATCATTGTGTCAGAATGTTTTCCATGTTTATTGAGCAGGCACTGGAAAGATATTTTAACGGTGCCATTTCAAAGGACTCCCTATAAAGCATTTGGATATCTGATATCCAAACAGGTTTGGAGGGGGAGCGATGGGGTAGCTTATTGACTAAAGAGTTCACTCGTCATGTTGAATAGCAGAAATAGATGGGCAGTGGGTTAGCCTTGTGGTTAAAGTGTTCACTCGTCACGCCGAAGACCCAGGTTCGATTCCCCACATGGGTACAATGTGTGAAGCCCATTTCTGGTGTCCCCTGCTGTGATATTGCTGGAATATTGCTAATACCAGCACAAAGCCATACTCACTCACACCAAACAAGTGGGTGATAATGTGTTATCAGCATTATTGAGGCATAGTATAGTCTATATTAAACAGGGCTATTGCAAGTAGCATTTTAAAAAATAATTGTATTTTGATATTATCACATGGTATTTCATCCATCAAAGTCTCTCAAACTTAATGTCTTGAGAATCTTTGGATGAATAAACAATAACTCATCGTTGTTATTTGAGAAACACAGATTTATCTTCCAATATTTCCATTCAAGTGACATTTTCTGTACATCTCCAGCATATTATGCGGCATTGTATTATTTTATATTCCGTAAGAATATGAGCAGTTGTATTTTCTGGTAATACAACTGTTTTCCAAGCATGATCTTCCACGTTCAAAGTGTTCACATGCTATTTTATATCTAGTGATGATTCCTGTTTTTTTACATCGGTCATGTAGATAAAACCAGCTTAGCTAAATCTTAAATAATCCAATCAATGGAGCACCATTTTGATCAGGTTGAAGATCATATTTCTCATCTTTCAGATATGTTTGTTTTATTGTTGACAGAGCCAGATTAGATGATGACATTGATGACATTCTCAGAGAAGATGATGACATGCCACAGGTAATAAATTCTGTCTGTTAAGAGATGGACTATTTTTATAATAACAAATAGTAATCATTGTTGGTGAAAGAATTTTTTTTAGACAAGACATTTACTGGCAGCTCTGTGGGGGTTCAAGGAAGGAGTAGCTCCGTAGCTGTACTTTTCCCTCCAGACTCCACTACAGCTAGAATATTCCTGACTGTGGCACCCGCAAAAATCCGGGTTAGAGTTGGTAGGATTGGGTGGTTCACACGTTATCATATCCCAATAGCTTAGATCGATGCTCATGCTGTTGATCACTGGATTGTCTGGTCCAGACTTGATTATTTACAGACCACTTCCAATGCTGGAATATTGCTGAATGATGGAATGGTCATTGGTTTTCCTGGTGCCTTATTCACCAAATATTCGTAGCAATATGCCATTCATAAGCCTATGATAAAGTATACATTTGCGATTAGTCGTAACATTACAAACGCTTTGTTGATCGGATCCCTGGTCCTCATTCCACTTCAGTGATACATTTAGAATATTCCTGATGTGGCTTTAACAAAATTTAATCTCTTACTTTTCAGTAGTTTTTGGAAGATATTTAAATATTTTTCTATTACCTTTTGTCAGTGAAGCCACACCCAAACAATTCCTGCTGCATAGCTGTGCCCAAGATACTTGTGTCTTGTAGACAAACTTGTCCCTTAGCATCATTAGTTGTGCATTTTATATTATAGTTTTATATTAGAGTGTCCGTTGAAATACAGTAATCATCAGTTATCATAAAGATGCTCTATTTTGCAGCTGAAGCAACTTGATATAGGCAGTAAAACATCAGTGGATGGTAAAGACAACCAGAGGTCACAATCATCTCGAAAGTAAGTATGTGAGCTAGACACAAACAATCTACATGAAGGTTGTGTGGGTTCTTAGGCCAATCAGATGTCAGGTTTCTAAAACAATCAAACATTATACAATTATTGACTTCTATCGAGGTTGATCCAATGATTTATTGACCCTGGAAAATATCACATGTCTAAGGTCAATAAATCATTGGATCAACCGAACTGAAGTTAATGATTGTTATATTATATGACAAAAGTACTGAATACCTGTTCTTCTCTGACGATTTATTTCCTCTTCTTAGACAGTCATGAATATTCTTGGTGTCTGCCATTTTGATACAGATGGGACGTAATTCTAAACCAACACACTCACAGGGACGCTTCCTTATCTAGCGTGACGCGACGCAGTGCAGAGTTCACAGCTGGAATATCCCAAATCTATTTTTAGCCATGGGAGGTGCTTGGATTGTGATATCAACCTCTCGCGACGTGGCGAGGTTGACATAACTTAGCGTCAAAGCTGTCATGTGACCAAGTGGGCCAATCAGAAGGGCGGAAAACTACCCGTCATATAATAACATCAGTTATCACCTCCATTTGGAAGTTTCAATTTTAGCGAAAGAAGACCCATACACAGCACAAATATTTCTTTGATGGTCCTTGCTGTTGGTCTAGATACTATGGTACTCAGAACATGATCTCCACATTAATTCAGAGAAGTTTCTGTTTTTGTGACCACAGCTCAGGAGTAGGCACATCAGAGCTTGTGTACTGTGTGGACTTTATTGGGAGTTAGTGTTGGCATCAAACCCAACACCTCACTCACTCATTGTACACATATTGTGATGGAGGTGGATATGAAACTAGTGTGCTGTTGCAGAGCTCCAGATAAGATTTAGCTCATGTGGGTACTGTACCCACTGTATTTTTTGGAGTGGGTATTATGAATGTTGAGTGGGTATTTCATTTTCCGTTACCCACTTCTTTCAAATATGTGCGTATTTCAGTCATTTTACTCACCTAAGTATATGTCATTGAGTAAGTTTACTAAGTAGGTATGTTCTGCCTTATGTCATACCTAATCAAAACCAACTTAAATATAATGGAACCCTGACTAGTGGTGTAACGATACCCTGACACCTCACTAGTGGTGTAACGATACCCTGACACCTCACTAGTGGTATAACGATACCCTGACACCTCACTAGTGGTGTAACGATACCCTGACACCTCACTAGTGGTGTAACGATACCCTGACACCTCACTAGTGGTGTAACGATTCACTAGTGTAACGATACCCTGACACCTCACTCACTGTGGTGTAACGACCTCCTCACTAGTGGTGTACTACTAGTGGTGTAACGATACCCTGACACCTCACTAGTGGTGTAACCCCTGACACCTCACTAGTGGTGTAACGCTACCCTGACACCTCACTAGTGGTGTAACGATTCATCGATAGTATCGATGTTTGCATCGTCAACAACGCGATACGAGTGCATTGATACGAAACACATTTAGGCAATATATCAGGATATTTATATCGCGAGGGTCCATGATACATCGATGTATCACCACAAGACACGATATATCCCAATACAACTTAAATACTACTTAAAGTTGTAGGGAGTATTGCAATAGGAATAGGAAGGGAGTCTCTTTGAAATTCTTCTGAATTTTAAAAACAAATTGAACTTTAAAGGCATTTGTTTGTCTGTTATCTCTGTTACATGAACAAAGAAGTTGGTGTACAAGTCACAGAGTGTGAACATTTTACAAACTATGTGAACTGAGAATAATTGTCTTCAAGTAATTGAAATATGCAGATGTTTTAGTTGTTTGACAAATAATACTATTTATTTATAACTACAAACGATGTCTTAGCATTGTTAACAAAGAGAACAAAGAGAAGATAAAATTTAGAAAGCAGACTTAAGTGATTCTGAATGCTGATGTAAATTACATTGAGTTGTTTGTGAAAGCATTGGTGTAGAAACACAATTTCCCAAGGGAAACTTCACTTTCAGATTTATATATAATAGATCAAGGTATACTGAATATGTTCGACTTTCTTAAGCATTTAATGCTGAAACTTTATTAGATGAACAGCTTTTTAAGTGTCTGTCAATGGAACACAAGTTCTGCTGTATAATACATAAAGTTTCAGTCATTTTATCCATCATATCTGTTCTGTTATTAAAAATTGTAAAGTATCGGGATACATATCGTATCGCCACCATTGTATCATGATGATAATTGTCTCGCAGGTTCCTTGCCAATACTTTCATGATATATCGTCTCGCCTCATTAAACTGGTGTCGGGATATATCGTCTCGCCAATTAGGCCACGATACACAGCTCTACACCTCACTAACTCATTTAACCATTGAATCAGGCCTCTTTCACATCATGCAAAGAAGCCTTCCTGCTCTTTATGAATTGACATTTTGTATTTTCAGATGCTTTCCTGTATATTTAGGTGGAAGCTCCTGTGTCCTGGGCTTAGCCTCAAGTGTAAATAAACGGTAATTTACCTACTGTTATCAAAATTAGGTCACTCGTTCGCAATTGCATTTCTTCTTGAAGTTCTGACAAACCATCACAGAAGGTCATGTGGACCCTGAGGAAACTCTGAATGAAGGATGCTTAGGTTCTTAAACCAGTCAGAGGCCAGCTTAGTAGTGAAACTGTTTGGCATCATATATATACTGTGGAGCACAGTGGTGTAGTGGTTAGCATGCTGGCCTCTCACGCCAAAGGCCTGGGTTCGAATCCCGGGTGGAGACACCAAAATTTGTGACCTGGGTCTCATACTGTGTTGTGTCCCTGGGCAAGGCACTTCATCCACATTGCACTCAGTCCACCCAGCTGTTTAAAATGGGTACCTGAAAAGCGGGTGTATGGACCTATACGGTCGCTCTTAGCACTTAGTAGCAGCTTTGAAAGTACAATTCCGTCAGGGTAATAATGTAACGCCAGAGAACAGCATCGCGTTGGATTCTAGGTGCAAAAATTAGCATTATTATTATTATATACAGCTACAGTTTGAAAATTTGGATTTTAGCAAAAGTAAAACCACATTTATTTATTTTTGTAGACATTACCATGTTCCCCAAGGATGACAGAGGGACATATAATTGCCCTTCCTCTTCAACCCTCACTTTGAAATCAAATAAAATTCAAATATATCATGCACACAAATAGACTTCACAGTTTTGAATTTCTGCGGGAAATTTCCTGTTTCACTGTCATCTTAGGCAAAGCAAAAGTGCTGAAAATAATCTTTCAGAATTGGGTACATTGTAAATGTGGCTGTTTTTAATTACAAATTTGTGATTCACAGCGTTATTTGGTATATGTTTGAAATGTAAAATCAGAGTACTGAATTTCAAAACCAGCATATTAGCAATCACTGATATGTTTTTCATCAAATCACCAATGTTAATTCTGAATCGTCATCGATAAACCTAGAATTGGCTGGGATGTTTTGGAAAATACACGAACACAAACACCGAAGTGAGCTTTCCGATATATTGGATAGTGTTTACAAAATCTGTTTCACGAAGGCCGGTCCTGAGACTGTTACATCATGGACCATTGCATCATGTATGTTTCATACTTACCTGCGACAAATACATCACGGAATTCCTCATACATTTTAGAATAAAATAACAAAGTGTCTTAATGTAATCAAACAAAAAATATATTGGGCGTGAAAACGAATGATGTGCTCAGAAGTCTGCTTGTTTGAAATATAAACAAAGAAAAATTCAAATTTAACACAATGTACAGGGGTGGAAATAACTTTAAAATTGCTAGCGTACTCCGGTGCAGTGGCACATGTAAAATCACTTACCCTGATAATTTTTCCACTATACCGACTGATTTTCTTGTTCATTTTTTAAATAAACAATAAAATTAACTTTGGTAAATCAACTGGACAGTGGTACAGCGTGATATAACCAAGAGAAGTTGTCATAAAAGCTGATAAAGCTACTGTTGTACCTCAGGCATGGCTTCATGTATGACAGAAACTTTGAGTTTTGTTAAGAAACAAATAACAATATGCAGATAGTCAGAATGTTTTGGATTAATTACATCACATACGTTCCCTGAATCAAGGGAAGGTCCGTTGCAAATCCTGCATACCTATGTCAGCAAACCTGCCATTTTCTAAAAAAAAATCCAGTCATTGGTAGTGATGTCGTCGGTAAATTGTCCTATCCTATCGTGCTGCTTATAGTTTCAGTATTATAATCTATATTTTGCATATCTTTCAGATATTTCTCACAGAACTAATTTCATTAGATACATTTAGCCTTGAATACAATGCCATTTAGAAAGTGGTCAAATATAAAACACATGGTCAACAAACCGTGAGTTCGCTGCAAAAAGCTGCAACATTACAGCCTTAAGCAATATTTACTCACTCACAAACATTGAGTACAGACTACACTAATGCTTAGTCTCTGAATATATATAATTTTGATTGTAACAAATATACCCATTTAAATTGAAAAGGAGCCCCTGGGAGACCAGAGATTGAACATGGGGAATCTAGACTTGCTTCATTTAGGGCTTTAGCATTGCAGGGAGGGCAAGGCTGTAGGGAAAATGATATGGTTCAGGGACTGTGAGACAGACTTTTACAGACATGTGTAATGTTCTCTGTTTTAGGGCTTGTGACAGGCTGAGGTGTACATCATGTGACTTTCGAGTGTCACAGTTTGACAACTTTGAATGGCATACAAGTACAGACTATTTGTTTCTGAGGAACAATGTACCTGATTTTGAAAAATTAAAATCTAAACTTAAAGCAAGAAAAGGTAAGTATTTTCTGGTTTAAAATAATTATATATCAAAGTGTAAAGTTTTATAGAGAAACCATGTCATGGCAACAGTTAAAGGCTGTGAATATGATTGCACATCACCCAAACTTCAGGTGTCCCTAAGTGAGTGAGTTTAGTTTTACGCCACACTCAGCAATATTCCAGCTACATGGCGGCGGTCTGTAAATAATCGAGTCTGGGCCAGACAAGCCAGTGATCAACAGCATGAGCATCGATCTGCACGATTGGGAACCGATGACATGTGTCAACCAAGTCAACGGGCCTGACCACCCGTTAGTCGCCTCTTACGACAAGCATGGGTTACTGGAGATCAATTCTAACCCAGACCTTCACGGGTGAATGTCCCTAAGTAATGAATTCATCATAATTAGTGCCCCAGAAAGTTGGAAAATGGACAAAGTTTGGTGCCTGCTTAAAACATACACAACAATGTAGATCTATTTTCTGAAAGTAGGCTGCAGTAAACAACCTCAAGTCAAACTAAAAAAGTGATATTAGTTGCAAGATATTATATTCTCTTTCAGCACTGTTTTTTAAGTAAAAAATTCTTTGTATTACTAGAGCCAACTGACTTATGTTTTGTTGTTTCAGCATGAGAGCTAGACTGACATTTAGTCTCTGAAATAATATTATCTAATTACAAAAATATTTTTCCTGCAAAACTTATCTGAATTGAGCCCAGAACAATCCTTCACAGAACTGAGGCAATCTAGACTTGCCAAACAATTCTAGACTTGAATAGATTTAATATATTCTCTAGGTTCTGGGAAACAGGCTTCATGAGAGCATACTGACAGTTGTTTTGTTGTTTCAGGTGTGAGAGCGTACTGCTGCCAGTGTTGCTGGAAGTCTGTACCGGATCTGGTGGAGCTGAAAGACCCCAAGTTGAAGTGGGTGTGTGGCAAGCATTGACGCTGATCAGAGTCTAGATCACAGATTCCACATTCATCATTCCGTCCCTTAAACCAGCATGGAACAACAATCGCAAACCATTTGTTCATGAATGATTTGACAGGCATTGCTTTGAAGTTGACACATAACAAAATAGATATGTGGTTAACTACTTAATTATTACACTGTTATAATGATGTTCCATTATAGATTGGGCAGTGGGGTAGCCTAGTGGTTAAAGCGTTTGCTCCTCACGCTGAAGACCCGGGTTCGATTCCCCACACGGGTACAATGTGTGAAGCCCATTTCTGGTGTCCCCCTCTGATATTGCTGGAATATTGTGAAAGCACCGTAAAACCCAACTTACTCACTCAAATTACAGATCATTATAATGTTGTTCCTGCTCAGAAATAATTAAGTTATTGTCCATTAAGTGTGTCCACTGCTTTTTGTCACAGCTTTGGAATCAGATTTAGGCAGTTTGTTATGAATTGTAAATAGTGTATTGAAGAAGCTAAAAATATATTCATGAAATATTGGCTATATATAGTTTGCTCATGGAAATACTCATGAGTTATTAACAAAGATAAGACTATTATATTTACTATATTATTCTGTATTACTTGCATTTAACCAACCACAGATTTGTTTATATATATATATATAGAGGGAGAGAGTTATTTCTGTTGTGACATAGATATATATAGGTAAAGACTTTTAGAGAAACTGTATTCATTTGTAATAGGAGTTTTGATTTTCAAAGGCTCATCCATTTCATGTTATTGATCCATAATTCTGGCATGTGTCGCAGTGTCAGCATGATATTCTAGTATGTTGAAAGGTTCAAGACATCAGTTCACAAATTATAACTCCTGCTATGTGCTTATCCATGTCATCATTGCAAAAATTGTTCTTGAGATTATCTTTCATTTGTTGGCATCGTATGTGTGTGATGAGTTCAGTTTGTGTGCTACTTTCTGATGAGGTGTGTTTTAACTTATAGTTGTTAAATACCAAGACACTGTTTCTGTCAAACAGTAAGAGATGATAAAACAACAGTTTAATCTCACTACTGCGACAGGAAGAAATACAGAAATACGACACTTTGTCCTATCAAGTCTCAGTGGTGAAGGATTTTGCACATTATGCCAAAATGCTAATTGCAAAACATTATTTCTGGAAAACTGCTAACAGCAGCATTAAGTCAAACTCTCTCACATATTTGTTATTGGTCAGACTGCTCTTGCTCTGTGTTGACAAGGATAAAAGAAAGTGAGCAATTTAAGGAACGATAAAGTAGATACTCATTATGATGCATATTTAGTTAGTACTAAAAAGACCCAATTCATTTCAGGGACCACAAAATCTTCGCAGCTCAATTAAATATGAGTATCTATGAGAAGGTCCTGATGAGGTGTACATTTTGTGTAAAACAGCTAAAATACACTAAACATGTGGGTGGTCAAATGTTTATTGTAAAAGATAAACTTAACAAAACAAAACTACTGGTGTATATTACTATCGTTATTGTGCTAAAATGTACAAATTATAACTGACAAGATCTAATGACACAAATCCAGTAAGATATTTGTATTTGCACAACACAAAATTGCGGTAGTGAAACAAAAGCAGAACCAGCTGTCCCAGTGTTTGCTGACAGACGATTTGCAACTTTACAGCTTGTCTGCAGTATGTTTACAAAACCTCCCGAAAATAATTCTGGTACTGAGTGAAGGGCAAAACTTTGAATATAACCCCCACTGCCAGTCAGGGCCTTTACTGAAGGGAAATGATTTGACGGACTTGAAATATACAATACATATTGGTAGACCCTTACTAAAATTTGATTGACTTGTAGCCTCACCTCCTGTCAGGACCCTCACTAAAGGTCCAAAATTTGACTACTTGTAACCCCCACCATCTGTCAGGACCCTCGCTAAAGGGCCAAAATTTGACTACTTGTAACCCCCACCATCTGTCAGGACCCTCGCTAAAGGGCCAAAATTTGACTACTTGTAACCCCATCATCTGTCAGGACCCTCGCTAAAGGGCCAAAATGTGACTGCTTGTAACCCCCACCATCTGTCAGGACCCTCACTAAAGGGCCAAAATGTGACTGCTTGTAACCCCCACCATCTGTCAGGACTCTCACTAAAGGGCCAAAATGTGAGTGACTGTAACCCCCACGATCTGTCAGGACCCTCAGTAAAGGGCCAAAATGTGACTGCATGTAACCCCAACGATCTGTCAGGACCCTCAGTAAAGGGCCAAAATGTGACTGCATGTAACCCCCACCATCTGTCAGGACCCTCGCTAAAGGGCCAAAATGTGACTGCTTGTAACCCCCACCATCTGTCAGGACCCTCGCTAAAGGGCCAAAATGTGACTGCTTGTAACCCCCACCATCTGTCAGGACCCTCACTAAAGCATCTGTCAAGGGCCAAAATGTGACTGCTTGTAACCCCCACCATCTGTCAGGACTCTTGCTAAAGGGCCAAAATGTGACTGATTTGTAACCCCACCTCATGATCCTCACTAAAGATGCAAATGTTTCCAGACCAACTTTTATGATCTGAATATATGAATGCCTCTCTTTTCATAAACAGGAACCTCGGCCAATCATGTAACTGACTACAGTATCTTGTTCATTCCGTTGTTGTATTCAAATGGGTTGTCAAACCTGTACTGTTGTGTTCAAACAATAAAACTTAAAACTTTTGAACTAGTTTCGTTTGTTGTTTAACGTGACAATATTCTAGCTGATTGCCTGGGCCAGTACATAGTCGGGTCTGGATCCGACAACCCCTTCACGGAGTTTATGAGCAATATCTCATGCCACTGGAAACAATGGCACACAGTCTACCAATTCAGGAAACCAGACCTATCTCTTCAGCTGTGGACCTATTCTAAACCAAACCTCCGTGGGTATAAATTCTTCAATTTTTAATCTGTGAGTGGTTTCACAGATCATGGATTGTTTTGACTTTTCAAAAGATATTCCCAATTTTTTCATATTGCTAAGTTAATCTGTTATGGCACTACAGATTAGATACTTCATTCTTTTGTTAGAGGTACCATAGATCCGATGTTTATTACAAAGTACATTTGTGAAGGATCCAAAAGAATCAAAGCCAAATACAAAAAGACAGACAAGTTGGGTTTTTTTTCAGTAGTTGAGATATCGTCTGATTTTATTGGGAACTAGTAATGTCATCGCAGAACTCAACCAAAGGGAGGAAACTATGACATACATTGACATACATTGACTTCACTCCTTCCACAAGTCAGTACCATTACAAAATCATTTTGTCCAGTTCAATACCTCTCTGCATTACAATCTGACAATTCCATAGGAATCAGGTGATTTATCAGGTGAACTTTCTCATCAGCCATTCACAATGTCAGTATGAATGAGCAAAACATTAACACAAAAATGCCCGACCTTACAAAAGAATAATTAGGAATTTTCAAATGGTTACATCCCCCCACCTCACTTTTATTGAGGATATATTCGACTCATTTCTGAGCTTCTGACATGATGTGTAGCTGTGTCATCATCTTCACAGAGATCTTTATAGTTAAAACATTTTATTCTCAGATTGTTCAAGAAAATCAATGTTTTGAACATCACATGACACTACTATGAAGTGTAATTATCCTTCAATCTTGGCAGCACAATGTTGGCAAATAAACATACAATGTATCGCATATAGAAACAAAACACAGCCCAAAATACTTATGTTGGTTACACCAACAGGGAAAAGGGGCTTCTCACATTGTGTATGCACGTGATGGTTGGTTGGTTGGTTGTTTTATGCCAAACTCAGCAATATTCCAGCTATATGGGGGCGGTCTGTAAATAATCAAGTCTGGACCAGACAATCCAGTGATCAACAGCATGAGTACCGATATACGCAGGTGGGATGCAATGAAATGTGTCAACCAAGTCAGCGAACCTGACCACCTGATCCTGGTATGCACATGAGGCCTGGCAGATACTAATACTAGCACAACTGATCATGTATAATTAACACTGAAGAGGACATCTGTGTTAAGTCTGAAAATGGACAGGAGATCTTTATGGTGTAGAGATGAACTACAGGATTTATGGCAAAGATCTATTGAAGGTTTTGTATTCGCAGGAAAACACAACACAATGTATTCATGTATGAAACTTCCTTTCTGGTTTTATTTCATGTTGTCACACACCATTCATGTTTATTTACAAACGTAAAAGTATGGTGATGGGAACGTAAGTATGATGTTAGTGGAGCACAAAAAGGGACACTTCTGTCAACCCCAAGTGTCAATAATCATTTCCAGGGGGGAGAGTACACTGTAACATGTACACAGAACTTTCCACTCCTGAAAGCATCTCCATTCTGATTCAAATCAGAACTATTACAACTTAACAATATTGATTTTATGATTAGTTTAACAATATTCATTTAATCACTGTTTATTGTCTTAACAAGATACAGGTAAGTTCTAATTGCCGTTATAATAATTCCATGATTCTGTTGATTTATATATTGAACCACAGCAAACTTGATTCATGTCAACAAGAAGTCTCTGAAAACAGGTCTTATACTACCATGGTCACAAACCCCATAATTCAGCACAAGATTTCTTATTTTGGCATTGCTGGATGAATTTATGTAACAGGTACTTCTCTAAAGCTAAGAATATGGAGCACACATGTGAGAGGTATTTTCAAATCCAGTGATAGTTATGACCAATTTTTCTTGAAGTTGCTCCCTGTAACACAAGAGTTATCTCCCCTCCAAAATGCAGGCAGCTGCTTTAAGTCTTTGGCAAATCTTCCACCACCCATCACAAGATAGATGTAGCACTATGACGATGGAGACTTGAAACCCTGACCATCAGCTCTGTCGTTATGTCATACTGAAACAGACAACATCATGACTGAATAATTCATGCCATCAATATCTTTTCAAAATATGAGCAGAACACAACGTCTCATCCAGATGCATTTCACCGACCTGTCTACCAAAGAATCACTCATCTATGATGATATAAACACACCTGTCTATGAAAGCATCCCTGACGCAATAGACACACCTGTCCGTCCAGGTGTCCCTCAACCCTGACTCAATACACACACCTGTCCATCAAGGTGTCCCTCATCCCTGATTCAATACACACACCTGTCCGTCAAGGTGTCCCTCATCCCTGATTCAATACACACACCTGTCCGTCAAAGTGTCCCTCATCCCTGATGCAATACACACACCTGTCTGTCAAGGTGTCCCTCATCCCTGATTCAATACACACACCTGTCCGTCATCCCTGATTCAACAGACATGCCTGTCTGTCAAGGTGTCCCTCATCCCTGATTCAACAGACATGCCTGTCCGTCAAGGTGTCCCTCATCCCTGATTCAATACACACACCTGTCCGTCCAAGGTGTCCCTCATCCCTGATTCAATACACACACCTGTCCGCCGTCAAGGTGTCCCTCATCCCTGATTCAATACACACACCTGTCCGTCAAGGTGTCCCTCATCCCTGATTCAATACACACACCTGTCCGTCAAGGTGTCCCTCATCCCTGATTCAATACACACACCTGTCCGTCAAGGTGTCCCTCATCCCTGATTCAATACACACACCTGTCCGTCAAGGTGTCCTCATCCCTGATTCAATACACACACCTGTCTGTCAAGGTGTCCCTCATCCCTGATTCAATACACACATGATTCAATACACACACCTGTCCACCAAGGTGTCCCTCATCCCTGATTCAATACACACCTGTCCGTCAAGGTGTCCCTCATCCCTGATTCAATACACACACCTGTCCGTCAAGGTGTCCCTCATCCCTGATTCAATACACACACCTGTCCGTCAAGGTGTCCCTCATCCCTGATTCAATACACACACCTGTCCGTCAAGGTGTCCCTCATCCCTGATTCAATACACACACCTGTCCGTCAAGGTGTCCCTCATCCCTGATTCAATACACACACCTGTCCGTCAAGGTGTCCCTCATCCCTGATTCAATACACACACCTGTCCGTCAAGGTGTCCCTCATCCCTGATTCAATACACACACCTGTCCGTCAAGGTGTCCTCATCCCTGATTCAATACACACACCTGTCCTGTCCAAGGTGTCCCTCATCCCTGATTCAATACACACACCTGTCCGCCAAGGTGTCCCTCATCCCTCATCCCTGATTCAATACACACACCTGTCCGTCAAGGTGTCCTCATCCCTGATTCAATACACACACCTGTCCGTCAAAGGTGTCCCTCATCCCTGATTCAATACACACACCTGTCTGTCAAGGTGTCCCTCATCCCTGATTCAATACACACACCTGTCCGTCAAGGTGTCCCTCATCCCTGATTCAATACACACACCTGTCTGTCAAGGTGTCCCTCATCCCTGATTCAATACACACACCTGTCTGTCAAGGTGTCCCTCATCCCTGATTCAATACACACACCTGTCTGTCAAGGTGTCCCTCATCCCTGATTCAATACACACACTTATAATGTCCGAAATTATTAAGGTGTCCCTCATCCCTGATTCAATACAGCACAACAAATGTCACATGTCACATAAAACAACTTCAGTCAAAGTGTCCCTCATCCCTGATTCAATACACACACCTGTCCGTCAAGGTGTCCCTCATCCCTGATTCAATACACACCTGTCTGTCAAGGTGTCCCTCATCCCTGATTCAATACACACACCTGTCTGTCAAGGTGTCCTCATCCCTGATTCAATACACACACCTGTCTGTCAAGGTGTCCCTCATCCCTGATTCAATACACACACCTGTCCGTCAAGGTGTCCCTCATCCCTGATTCAATACACACACCTGTCTGTCAAGGTGTCCCTCATCCCTGATTCAATACACACACCTGTCTGTCAAGGTGTCCCTCATCCCTGATTCAATACACACACCTGTCTGTCAAGGTGTCCCTCATTCCTGATTCAACAGACACGCCTGTCTGTCAAGGTGTCCCTCATCCCTGATTCAATACACACACCTGTCCGTCAAGGTGTCCCTCATCCCTGATTCAATACACACACCTGTCTGTCAAGGTGTCCCTCATCCCTGATTCAATACACACACCTGTCCGTCAAGGTGTCCCTCATCCCTGATTCAATACACACACCTGTCCGTCAAGGTGTCCCTCATCCCTGATTCAATACACACACCTGTCCGTCAAGGTGTCCCTCATCCCTGATTCAATACACACACCTGTCTGTCAAGGTGTCCCTCATCCCTGATTCAATACACACACCTGTCTGTCAAGGTGTCCCTCATCCCTGATTCAATACACACACCTGTACGCCAAGGTGTCCCTCATTCCTGATTCAATACACACACCTGTCTGTCAAGGTGTCCCTCATCCCTGATTCAATACACACACCTGTCCGTCAAGGTGTCCCTCATTCCTGATTCAATACACACACCTGTCTGTCAAGGTGTCCCTCATCCCTGATTCAATACACACACCTGTCCGTTAAAGCATCCCTAATCCCTGATTCAGTAGACACACCTGGCCGTCAAAGCATCCCATATCCCTGATGCAAAAGACACACCTGTCTACCAACATGGCATCCCCTCATCCCTGATGTAATCAACCCACCTGTCTAACAAGGCGTCCCTCATCCCTGATGCAACTGCTGATGGCTGGTTGTCTCCTAGTTTAAACACACTCTCTATGACTGATAGTTCTGTAGCTGTTGTGTCGAGGCCACAGAAAGCAATCCAGTCGTTGACAACAAGGCCAGCTCCTATGACATCACTTCCTCTGTTGACAGTCCCAGCCTGGAACAATGCGCCATGATGAGATCAATTCTGGACCTGGTTCTAAAGTCATAATGTTGCACTTCAAACAGCCACCTCATCAAGCTCATGGAAACCAAATAGTTACATAGTTACACTGTTATTTCCTCCAGGCTTGGTTTATGAGGGGAATAGATTGCAAAGCACTTCTCTCCTCAAGCTGATAGCATACATACATGTTTAACCTTATCATTGCGTGACTGAGTAAGGTTTTATGTCACTTTTAGCAATATTTCAGCGATATCACAGCACTGGGACACTAGAAAAGGGCTTCAAGCATTGTATTCATGTGGGAAATTGAACGAGGGTATTCAGCATGATGAGCAAATGCTTTAACTGCTCAACTTCTCGACAGCCCGACCTCGTCAAAACCATTTCTTTTCATTTTCAGGCACATATAAACATTAGACTTTTCTTGATTCTCAAGGACTATGCCAAAAGAAGAAAGGGACAAATAAAAGCATCTTTTGCTGCTGACAAAATAAGAATTAGTCCTGAGCAGTAAACCCAGGAAACAGCAAATTGAAAAACAAAACAATTGGCAACAAGAAGACAAAGGCATCAATATCCCCAGCAATGGCAAACTACTCTTCATGATTATGTCTACGAGTTATGATTATGTCAAATATTTAGGTGTGTATATAGAAAAGTGGAAGGAGAGTATTGAAAGGTTTTTAAAGTTCTGCTCCAGAAAGGAGCACTATCACCAATTTCAGTCGATGTCAAACTTGTTGCCAAAAATATTTTATTCAGAAATCCAAAACTACCAAATGGCACCAGTACACCACCAGATCTCTGTATGTGCCAAGTTTGGTGAAGAAATATTGAACGGTTTTAGAGTTCTGCTCTGGAAAAGAGCACTACCACCAATTTCAGTCTAAGTCAAACTTGTTGCCATGGAAACGCCAAAAATATTTTATTCAGAATTCCAAAACTACCAAAAGGCACCAGTACACCACCAGATCAATGTATGTGCCAAGTTTGGTGAAGAAATATTGAACGGTTTTAGAGTTCTGCTCTGGAAAAGACAAATGTGCCTGGACGGACGGACGAACGCACGCACGGAGAGAGTCCATTTTAATATCCCCCGCAAAACGAGTTGCAGGGGATAATAAACAACTGTACTGATGTAAACTTTGTACTTTGCTTACCACTAAAGGAACTTGTAGCAGTGAAGACAATTCATCCTGATCTTCTACTGAGGTTTTTGGATGAACCTGAAAAAATGTATACAATCTTCAGAAATGATCTGCAAGAACCCTAGCAACTGATTCAAAATGTGTTATGCTAACCACCAAACACATGTGCACGCTTTCAAATTAGAGTTCAACCATTTTAATAGTTCACAGGGCATGGGGCTTAACATCATCAAATGGTGAGTGAGTGAGTGTGTTTCGTTTTACGCCGCTTTTAGCAATATTCCAGCAATATCACAGCTGGGGACACCAGAAATGAGCTTCAAACATTGTGCCCATGTGGGGAATCGAACCCGGGTCTTCAGCATGACGAGCGAACACCTTAACCACTAGGCTACCCCACCGCCCTTCATCAAATGGTGGGAACTACAAGATAATGTGCAGATGTTTCCACTTTCATAAATTTATGGGATAGGGAGGAACCTGGTTTCTTCTGGTGCAAACTGGTCTTCACGACACCATGTACATAGTGCAAGTTGAATCAAGTTCTTTAAATGATGCCATGATATGTCACTGGACATAGAAAAACAAAAGGAAGGTTGTGAATCTTTTACAGAGGTCATGATGTAGATGATGTTCTGAAATCTGGAAGAAGAACTTACTAGGCCTCCCTGGTTGCTGAAGGAACAATAGCTGCCCACGAGGACATTTCCTGCTAAGGTCTGACGAAACACCTCCACCTGCAGTGTGTCGTTGATGATGTCTTCGGTCTCCTGATGAATACATAAACAAAGACTTCAACATTATTGTTCTGGTCTCAGTATATTTATATTGAGGTACCATGTGTCAACCATATACTGAGGTACAGCGTGTCGAACAGTGAGCAATGTTTTACGTCAGTTTTAGCAAGGACTATCACAGCAACAGACCCCCAAAATGTGGTGAGACCCAGGTCCACCCCACCACCCATGCTGTCCTGTGACATTACTCTCATGATACCTGTTGTTAAACCAATTGAGTCTTACACTATCCTGAATGCAAATGTTTTTGAAGGTAAAGGGCACACAGTATTTGGTTCTGACAGGATGACGAGATAAGAGTTAATTAATGCAGGCCCACCAAACTGTTGCCATTACATTTTTCAAATTGCCAACACATGCATCTCACAGCAAATCCAATTTATCTTATGCAAAATCTATAAATGTGTAAGGCAGGTAAACTTTGGAAAGTAGATTCAAAACTTACAAAAATAGTTCACAAATCCATTGACTATTAACCCATGTTCCTAAGAAAATGTGTGTGTATTACTGAACAGAAAACTAAACATGCTGGTAGATTTAAACTTGTTAAAACTAATAAAGATGCAGGTCACTGGCTTTAACAGCTTAAAGTTTACACAAGTATCATAACAGGAACACAACTGGTGAGTTGTGACTTTTATCAACCCCAAAAATCAACACTTCGCAGGTTTGAATCTACCACTGTCCTCCATCACCTGTGGATACATACAGCCTCTCTGTGGTCTATCTGCTCTATGTAACAAGTGAATCATGCCATGGCCTTGTTCAGGTCAGGGGAAGAGCGAGTACTTTAACCAATGAAATGTCAAACATGTGCCAGAGCCTTATGGGCTCTACTTAAAGCATTGCTCAAAATAATGGTTCGATTACAAAATTCATGCATGTATTTCGCTCCATATGCCGACGTGTATGCGTGTGTATGTGTATGTGTATGTGCGGCTGCTTGTACTAGCCCAGACTTAAGCTGGTTTTATAGTGCTAGCTCACTGAGATACCATGCCGCAGTGAAGCATGAATACCCCACTCAGACACAGTATACTGACTCCGAGCCGACCAGTCCTTGTTGTACCCATTAATGTCGAGCACCAGGCAGGGACCAACAAGTACCATATTTTAACGTCTTTTGGTATGACGCGGTAGGGGATCGAACCGCGACCGTCCGCTCTCCGGGCGGACGCTCTAACCACTACACCACGGAGGCGGTCCATGCATGGAATAGGGCTCAGTAGATACAAAACCAAGGAGAATAAACGGCATGCACTGTAGTTATAAGTATTAGCATCATTTTTTCACCAAAAGAAATGACATCATACCCGATCTAAATCTGGATGAACTAATGCAACATAGTCATTACAGGCAGCCACATTGCCAAGGGCAGATAACCTCTCTTCCACACGCTGAAGTTTCACTGAGTCTGGCAAAGCGTTTCTGATGTGCTGAAGTTCCTGATCTGTTGTAGTATTTGGCACCAGCAGACCATGCCTATTGCCTGAAAAATGAAAACATGTTAGAAAACTTGTGAAAATCCTACAATTTCATAATTGTTTTAAATTGTTTGTTTTGTTTGATTGATTGTTGTTTAGCACTACGCTCAGCAGTATTACAGCTATATGGCGGCGGTCTGTAAATAATCAAGTCTAGACCAGACAATCCAGTGATCAACACCATGAGCATCGATCTACATCAGTTGGGATAGGATGACATGTATCAACCAAGTCAGCAAGCCTTACCACCCAATCCCGTTAGTCACCTCTTAAGACAAGTAAGTGTTGCGGAAGGCTAATTCTAACCCGGATCTGGTATTATTATTTGTGTAAGTTCTGCTGATCAATTACACTTGACAATGTTCACAATTAAGTTGAAGACTGGTGAGCTGGCCAGTCCTTGTTTTGGCCCCTTTATTCATTGCAACAGGTAAGGTAAAACTAAGTATCATCTTTTAAAGTCTTTGGGAATGAGACCACAAGGGACCAAAACACTGGTCTTCCACTCTCTGGGAACAATTTATTGAATAGAGGTAGTCCAAATACAGCAGACTCAAGCAGTTGGAGAAGAATTCTTGTGATACATACATCTCAACTTTGTGGTAATAAGATTGAATATATAGAATAATATGATTGTAAAAAATGTTCTGACTATGAAAGACCATGGTTACGTTACCAACACACATCCTCCCTATGATTCTGCATCCTGCTAAACTGGCATGAATGACTGGAACCGATTCTGACAATTCACCTTCAAACACACTGAAAATGAAAGAAAACATTTACGTGTTAACAGAGTTGTGACATCTCATGAGGGAAGGCACTCAAGTTCCCCTGTGTGGCTGTCAAAATATGTGACTACATGGATTTGTTGTAAGGTTAGATGAATCTGTTGACTGCATGTTATAACACATACCCCAACAGACAAGGACTTACATCATTCTTTAGTCAAGACATGATTACAGTGAAACCTGTCTAAACCAGCATCCCACGGATCGAAATAAAATGTCGGTTTAGACAGGGTGCCGGATTAGACAGTGATGACAGAACCAATGCCTGTTTAATTACTCTGTGACACGTCAGTCACTCAAAAACAGTTAAGGCAATCCCCCAGTGTTTAATATAAAGAAAGCATAACCGCGGTAATCCTACAACTGTTTGATTCACCGCGCAATCACTACTTCCTGATTATCTAGCGTGCCAAGAGGATTAATTAGTGTATTGGTTTATGGGTCCTTGATTGGACTGTTCATACCCATGTCGGTTTAGACAAGTATTAATTACAGTTAAAATTGCTTGTTGGGACTGGAAAGTCCTGCCGGATCAGACAATGTTTTGATGATCATAACATTGTTGTAAAATGGCGGGACAAACAATTTATGCCGGTTTCGACAGTGTGCCTGATTAGACAGGTGTTGGTATTGGCATTTTTACAATCCACCATCACATCATGGTCCTAGAGATGGAATATTGCTGAAAATGGACTTAAACTATAAACTAACAATCAAATTACATTTACAGACACTGAGATAGTCAAAAGCTGTCATTCCTAAACCTTTCTATTACACTAATTCATATAAAATAAATCACTTAACAAACATTACAGGACTTTGAAGGAAAGATTTAGGATAACAAACCTGTATGACAAGACTGAGACATGTTTGAATAGACTGACTTACTGCTTCATTTGCACCAGCAGACACGAGCAGATGTAATACGTCCTGCAATATTTGAACATGCATACTACTGATGCGAGTTCATTCAATCCTTGTTTTGGTTAAGTTTTATTCCCAAGTTAGAACTTTGCATTAGTTTCACTTCTTCATTCAATCACAGTGGAAACCAAAGCATAGTTTTGGGTTTTTCAGATAGGCTAAATTGCCATTAGCACGAGTTTAGCTGGAATTAATGAGTTCTACACAAGGGACCTAAAGTTCAAGATGTTTGACTGTTCGATTCAGTCAGTGTTGTTAATTTCACAACTGTCCATGTTCTACACATTCTCACCTGTAGAAATTTTCAGAGCCCCCAACTCCAACCAGACAGTAGGCATTTGTCAGCTTGGAGAAAACCCCGATCTCGTTATTTCCTTCGAACTGAGCGCGTACAGCCATTGCTATGAGCGACCTGACCACGTGCTGACTCTAAATACACCAAAACAACGTTGTGCAATGCTTGTATAAATAGATAGTCCAGTGTATGTTATTTCCCAACGTGGTGTTCACACCATGCTCTTGCACAACGTGTGGAAAACGTCACACAATAATGGGTATGACGCTGAGAATTGTGGGCTCCTTGATTTATCAAAAATTTGGATTTTTCTACAACGAATTATGAAAATATGCGACAAGTTTGCAATTGGATAGTTTACTTGTGTTACTAATTTCAGACCACGCGTCCTTGTGATAGCTTCTTTCAACTTGGATATGGCGACACATTGCTGATATAATAAGGTTTAATATGCATTTGGGGTCATGTCGACAACTGCAGGAAGTGACGGAAGCGACCCATAAATATTTCATAGTTCTCTCGATATTTTACGTTCAGTTTGACTATGTACAAATAATAACATTTGCGGGGTGTTGGGGTGGTCGAGTGGTTAATGCGTTCGCTTGTTACATCGAGGTCAAAGTTCGATTCCCCATATGGATACAATATGTGAAGTCCATTCCTTGTGACCTCTCGCGGTGATCCTGCTAAAAGCGGCATGAAACCAGTCTCTCACTCCCAAACTAGACTCAGTATCCAAGTCTGTCTCACAGTCCTTGAACAACATTATTGTCCCTACTGCCTAGCCCTCTCTTCAATGCAAATGTTCCACATGAAGCAAGTCTAGACTTCCTCAGGTTCAGGATCTGAATATCTGGTTTCCAGAGGCTCCTTTTCAATTGAAACGGCTTTGTTTGTTACTATCAAAATTATACATATTCAGAGACTAAGCGTTAGTCTACCAGGGCCCCGTTTCACAAAGCTCTCGTAAGCCTAAGATCTCGTAAGTTTTCTCGTAGCTTTCGTACCTCTTATACTGTAACATTGACTTACGATAGTCGTAACGAAACGGGACCCAGTATCCCTGCGTCCTAACATATTGGCAATTGCAAGTGACTGACGATACGAACAATGATCCACATGGATCTATGACACATAATTAGCCAAATTACCTATGATGAACACTCGATCATCAGTTGAACGATGATCAAGAGGTACAAGCACGGCCCTGAAATTGCCATAAGGTGATTTTACGCCGCTTAGTAATATTCCACCAATAACATAACGGAAGAGTGAGTGAGTTTAGTTTTACGCCCCAATCAGCAATATTCCAGCTATATGGCGGCGGTCTGTAAATAATCGAGTCTGGACCAAACAATCCAGTGATCAGCATCATGAGCTCGATTTGCGCAATTGGGAACCGCCAGTGATTTTAGCTGAGTGACGCAACTGCAAACCATGAAACGGTGCTACGGAGTTAGTTGTACTGTAGGAGACTTACCAGTATATCGCAGCGTAACAAATAATACTGAGCCTACTTACGTTGAGTGAATGAGTATAGATTTACGCAAAATCCCACAACGGGAACGCATTAAGCACCTGACATCCCAGCCATGACACATACACTGGAAGTAGTCCCAATATGAACGTGTAATATAAATATATAATATGAAAATTCCGAGACACATTTTTTCATCTTTCCCGATGTGTGCAAAATTAAACGTGATGGACTGACTGACTGACTGAGTTTGGTTTTACGCCGCCTTTAGCAATATTCCAGCAACATCACGGCGGGGACACCAGAAATGGGCTTCACACATTGTACCCATGTGGGGATTCGAACCCGGGTCTTCGGCGTGACGAGCCAACGCTTTAACCATTAGGCTACCCCACCGCCCCCAAACGTGATGGAGAAGCCGCTACCGAAACCACACGCCTGAAGGCTATATCGAAGTAGGTATGAAATGGTTCATTCCACAAAACAATGAACTGCGTTCTTGCAAGTTGAAAATTCCGATACCCCTTATTATTTGTGTGATCCCTCACAAATTACACGGAGTATATTTAAACGAAAAAATAGTGTTGATTTCCAAATGACCACAATGAACATTTTAAAAAATACGGTATAAAAAGAAAATGAGAAAAATCATTAGCGGTGGGTATCAAATATATAAACATCTGCATCATTTTAACGTCAGTTCAAGTGCAGTCCAAAATCCAAAAATATACAAAAATGTGAAGAAAACATAACAAAAGTTCAAAACCATGCGTTTCATCGCACTCACTCTGTGTGTCCTATCGATATCCTTTTCTTTCCCGCTAAAGATTTATCAAATTCCCTCTTTCTCCACACAATTCCATAACCGCGATGTTTGTATGCACTCTGAAGCGAATCCCCCTAAATTAATAGGTTAAGTCGATACTGGCTTCGACGCCATGTACTACAACGGCCTCAATGACGCCGTGATATGTTGTGTGTGTTTACTTCATCGAGAAAACATGTGAAAGACCTCCTAGAAAAACATTCGTTACGGGTCTGATTTCCTGTGTGGGGCGATTATACCATGAAATGAATTCCATGATGCCGGAAGAAAACTTGAGACATCGAGTTATGGAATTTACAGCGACATGTATTACAATGTCGTTGTTGTTGAGTCTGTGCGACGTTGCGGTGCTGGCGAGAGGAGAATTATTTGCTCGCATACAGTAGTAGTACAGGATGTGAAATATATCTTTTGACATGAACCTATCTTAATCTTGTACGATATTAGTTTTCTTTGTGTTTTTGTACTACTACTACTACTACTACTACTACTACTACTACTATACTACTACTACTACTACTACTACTACTTACTACTTCTACTACTACTACTACTACTACTACTACTACTACTACTACTACTTACTACTTCTTCTACTACTACTACTACTACTACTACTACTACTACTACTACTACTACTACTACTTCTACTACTACTACTACATGTACTACTTAATGTGATAAAACCCGTGAAGATACGGGCTAGAATTAGTCTTCAGCAACCCATGCTTGTCGTAAGAGGCGAATGGGGTACGAGCCTTCTTGTAGGTCACGGAAAGAGGCGAGTAGTTACGAATGGCTGACGTGCTTGACACAGACTCAATTATTCACAGACGGACACCATATAGCTAGAATATTGCTGATTGTGGCGTTAAACAACTGACGAACTGCTGCTGCTGCTGCTGATGATGATGATAAATTTGAAATTCTCATCAACAGTATAGACACACGCTGGCAAACTGTTTTCATAATACATATTTTTGGGTTTGGTTGTATTTTGAATGACGTACTATATTTTCTGGCTTGGTGGGATTTTGATTGACATAACAACGGGACATATCTCCTACTGAGAGAAACGCGGAGTTATTTGTAATTAGGCATAAGAATAATGAAATCATAATTTCGATGGTATTTATATTATACCAATTTGCTTTTGGCCTCAGGTGGTGTATAGTTGTTAACGAATTGACATGTATTTCAAACAATTTTTGTTTCTGATATTAAGTTTCTGGTTCACATTATCCGATGACTTTTCGTATAGACAATAAAACACGGTTTCACCGACATATTTAGTCTGTGTTACGTCACGCAATGCACTTGATGTTCCTATCAGGGTGGAATCGACCTGGCATCGTTTTAACACCTCGTCTCAAGAATTTCACACAAACAAAACGAAGGAAACCTTATCGATATGGCCGCGGCACGGCAGATCTAAAATTCTTCAAATCACTTCAAACCTTGAATCACACGAAGAGCGTGATGTCGGTATCTTCTCTGTACTCAATAACGTGTTTGCCCATATTTGGGAGTTTAAACACACTATTTAACAGTTATTAATGAAAAGAGACCATATTGAAAACGATAGCTCATCCCACGTGTCTGTTTAAGTCGTATTTTGTAAATATTTGGACAACATTGCACTAACCTATGTCTGAAATGTGTCACCATTGATTATGATGCGAAGCCGAAGGCATAAAAGCATCTTTTCAGAAAAGAGATAAGATCGATGTACACAATCTATTTGGGGGTGTAATTTTTTATACACATCATCACATACAAACAAACTCTCATGACTCCTTTTGACTCAGCAAGAACGACCATCCAGTATCTATCCACCTGCATTTTAGGTGAACATTACTTTACTGAATGAACTTTTGAATGACTCGTTGTTTTTAGATTGAAATGGTCCTCAAAGTCTGAATTATTATTGTTCCACACGTGAGGCAAGTTCAAGGCCACCGGGACCGCGCCCTACACATAGAGGTCAAACAGAAAGTGTCATTCTACATTAGGTTTCTTTAATATCTTTCATTGTATACAGCCTATTTGGTTATTTGTGGACCTTATAGAAATTGAAGCTCTGTCGTAAAATGGACTATTGAAATGACTGTTTCGATAAAGGTAATTTATACGTAACTACACCGCAATGTAAATGTTATAAACATTAGATGTGTAAGAAACACAAATTAACCTCACAGGAATTTTGACTTAGCTGCAAAAAGACCCTTTGCAAACGTGTGAATGTTATTTGAAGACGAGATGAATACCATTACTGCCTCTGTTTACATGCAAATTTAGTTCGGTTGAAAAGTATACAGGTATATACCATGTACGTAAATATAGGTACATGTAAATGCATTTCTGTCAAATGTGAGATAAATACATGATCTGTTTTGCTGTCCCGTCAAATTACACAAGAATGATGTTAAATAGAGAGAAGCAGAACAATACAATTCAGACAAAAATTAAAATCCCTAGAAGCACGCAATGTGGTCTAATATCCTATAAAGAGTTGGACGCTAATTGTCCACGAATCTAAAGCCATGTTTTCAGAACGTGATTAACGCTAACATAACGAGATTACGTTTGCGTAATAAACTTTTTTATCCACTGCAAACGTGACATAGATATTTTTTCAGTTCCTATACGGTGTGGTTTATCCAGCGTTGGGATCTGCCCCCTCACATTCCCAGATACAGCCGGAACTAGACAGTAGAATGCGTGCCTTTGAGGAGGGGAGGGGGTTTCCAAATACAGTCCAGGGCGAATTAAAAATCTACAGTTGTTTGTATTTATTTTGAAGTTAGTTGTTTGCATTTTACCTTCAGGTTAATGGGTGTTACGCGATAACATTACTTTGTTTATGTAAATATGTTCGTTTATGAAACACCCTCTGCGTATAGATGCAGGTGAAGTTTGATTAAAATATAATAATAATGGCCGATATCCATGCACTTGTGCATGCTCAAGGCGCTAACACGGTATTATCCCGGTTAACCCAAGATGATTTAGAGGCCCTAGAAGGGTAACAGTCATATGACATACCCCACCGGGTACGCATCCAATGCTTGGTGAACATAGGTAATGGTTTTAGCAAACTCTCTTGCCTTGGGGTGAGAACACATATGTCACATGTGCTTCGTTGTGGGCAGGACTTAGTCTAAGAAACTCTCAGGAGTCAAGCTGCCAAACACGGCAGTCCAAAGACTCTCAACCAACGTTGCTAAACTTCAACAGATTTGTAACCTCAGCTCTATGCACAGGACCACACAACACAAGACCACACAAATATGCTTTATTCATTTCAACAACAGTGAGTGAGTGAGTGGTTTTAGTTTTACGCCGCACTCAGCAATATTCCAGTTATATGGCGGCGGTCTGTAAATAATCCAGTCTGGACCAGACAAACCAGTGATCAACAGCATGAGCATCGATCTGCGCAATTGGGCACCGATGACAGATTGACAGCGAGCCTGACCAACCGATCCCGTTAGTCGCCTCTTACGACAAGCATGGGTTACTAAAGGTTAATTCTAAACCGGACCTTCACGGGTATTCAACAACAGTAGTAGTAGTAGTAGTAGTAGTAGTAGTAGTAGAAGAAGTAGTAGTAGTAGCAGCAGCAATAGTACTAGTAGTAGTAGTTAATATAAGAATATTTTAAGGATGCAGTATCATTGAAGACAGCGGCAGCCCACCAAAACTGAAGGTATCATCAATCTGATTATGTTACAGAAGAACTAATGACAAATGAGTTATGAATACTTAACACAATAATATACAATGCAATAATAAATTCAAATCTACTGAAGACGAGTTTTAGGTGTATTAGAAATAATCAACAAAAGTCAAAGAACGAAGGAAATAAGACGAATGTTTTTTAATTGTTTTTTCTTCTTTTCATTGACATATACATCACTATTATGTGGTTTAATAACATTTATACATCGCATTGCCTATAAAACCGTCTTTTGTCTTTCACATGTGAATATCTATGAATATATATTTACTTAAGTGACCTCTGTCCGCTTTAAAGATGTTGTCAAGGAGATACACAAATATAAACAAAGGTCATAGTTTAGTGAGTGCTTACTCCTTTCTTTTATCCTGCCCATTTTAGTAATCAATTATGTCTATTAATAAACAAGACTAACAAATGGAAACAAGTTTCATTTTGACAGCAGTTTTGATAAAAAATGAACATCACCGGGTTACCCCAACATACATTATATACATTTCCACCATGCCCACTATAGGAAACCTGTCAGTATTTGTTATTATGGTTTCTAAGTGTGAATGGATATTTTGTAAAGGGTTCGTTTTGAAAATGCCAAGCTGGTATCACGGGTATTACGTACATGTGTGATTCTGTTTAAGTATAAAATTATATTAAAATTGTGTGATATACTTAATTATCTTACTATTGTATCACGCCCACATTTCTTTCTCGGCTCAAGTTGAACGCAGGGAGGCTATATTTTATTCAACACATGCTGATTCAGTACATATTATCACGTAAGAATGGCCGGTAGAAGACATACTACTGACAACTATCGTCAATACTTGAGGATCCTTCATTGAAAATACAAAACGGACAAGTACTGACGATGTGCTATAGGAAAGCAGCGAAAACTGGGGGGAAATAAAAACAAACAAACAAACAAACAACAAAATCAAACGAAAACCCCCATTAAACTTTCTATAAAACCACGAAATATCAAATCTATCAATCATATTTCTGAAATACCTATATCATATGCATTTGTCTTTCGATTTTATGATTATTTTTAATGATTTTACTGTTGTGTCACTTACATCATATAGTATAACCAATATCCTTAACAGTCCATTACCATTTGTTATATCAGTTATATCGATGTATTTTACAAAATAAAAGCTGTAAATCCCCCCGAATCTCAGCATTGTTACAGAATACTGACAACTAAAATACGTTTTGATCGATTGACGTACACGCCAATTGTTCAAGCAAGATGTGTAGTTTTGTGAAACAGACTATAAATTTGTGCTGACACTTCGGTGAGAGTTACTTGCCCCTTGTACTGTCTGGCAACCGGCAGAGAGCACGCGTAAGTTCGCTCGCTGGATGGTGTCGATATGATAGAGTCATGGCGCTCTACGGCAAATCCACAATGGATAAACTCATAGGAAGCGATCATTTCTCATTATCGGATCTTGTGAAAAGTTTTAACAATGCCATAAATGAAGAACAGGCATGGGCAGTGTGTTTCCAGTGTGCCCAATTCTTTCTCAGGGGGCAACCCCAAGAAACGTACCAGGATTTGTACATGTTTGGGAGCCAAGCATTGCGACTTTCAAAAGATGGTGAAGTTTTCATTGATTGTCAGTCATTAACAAGCAAAGGATCGGGTAAAGGCCCACCTGACAGTAAGTATTCGTTTGATTGCCACCCCAAACCATGTTTATTTCAATGTGACATGCTATGTGTTTCGTACCGAGAATCGTCGATGTGGTGAAATTGACAAGCTAATGTCGACGCACATTTGTCCCATAATCCCGCACACTGCGACTCTGGCACTCAGCATTCCGCCAATATCGATCGGTACAAATAATGGTATCAGATTTCGGCGTGTGTCCTACATTCCAACAGATAATCTGAGATATATGCACGCATCTAAACGAAGACACCACAAAGACAAGGGTGTCTGTGTTCAACCGTTTAGTGTTCGAATATTGTTTATAGGTCATAAATAGACTTTATGATAGACAGCATAGCTGATACCAGAGGAATGATTTTGTAAATAACACCACTTTGATGGTTTTAGTATTTTTGTGTAACTAAACTCCACTTATGTTTCAAGGGTAATGCCTAGACTGTCTGAGTGTCCTCCAAATGCAATACTATCCTTAGGGCATTCGGCAATGTCACATTGGCCATATTTTGAACGTTTTTTGTTGTTGTGTCAGAACAACACTCTTTTCCTCATATCGCAAATTAGCACATAGATTAAGAATGCAGAATTGAAATAATGTAAATTACTCTTTAACAGATTTCCATTTGCCATTTGAACCAGCAGTCCTATAGTCTGACTTAGAATATTAAAGGGTTCTGACGTTTCAAGAAATGTTCATATATCACACAATAGTAAAGAGTGTGAATAAGTTATTACTGATAGCAGCAGGATTGGGCACATTGCATCTCTTTGATTTAAATAAGCACTTTTCTGATTAAATTAAGACGATTTGTTGTTTCAGTCTTTTAAAACAAATCAAACTAATCTCATACATGATCTATGACAGAAAAAAGATGTCATTTTCTCTGGGCACATGATGAAAAAACAATTACGTCATGAAACTGCAATGGCATTTCAATTACGTGTGAAACACATTGTTCCTTTTTCAATTACCAGTTTGATTACCTTTCAGTATGACTATATTGTGATAACTGGTTAGACCAGCTCCCTTCCACGTCCCAGGCAATTACAGCAGTCCCGGTTTAAGGCCCTATCCTGATTATGTCATAGTTAACAGGCAACTCTTGGGTGGGTGTTGTACTGTCCTTGCCTTGAGGGGCCAATAGCCACGGTCTCGTTAAGATGCTCCTCAGAAATAATTGGAGTGTCTTGAGCTTAATTATGAGAACCTTCTAAAATACATCATAGATGTACTTATAAGGATTACGGCCTAATCCGTCGAATTTCATTTAATTTTGTTCCATGTAGCCATATTTTCACTGAACAATCTGACACTGACCAATCTGACCAATGCATTAAACATTTTTTTATATGTTTGTAAAGCTTAATTTCGTTTTGTGACATTTGTAAAACAATATTCTTTCTTAAAAATGTTACATTTAATTTGTTCCATGTAGCCATATTTTCACTGAACAATCTGACACTGACCAATCTGACCAATGCATTAAACATTTTTTTATATGTTTGTAAAGCTTAATTTCTTTTGTGACATTTGTAAAACAATATTCTTTCTTAAAAATGTTACATTTAATTTGTTCTATGTAGCCACATTTTCACTGAACAATCTGACAATATTGAAATATTCAGCCTGTAGTTAGACCAGGTTTGTTTGGTCGAGCTCTAATTAATTTGATAAAAAATAAATAAAACAGTGACACATTGTCCCAAATTTCAACATCATGTTGGTGTGAGATAGTGTCATATGGAAAATGTTTTATGTGACAATTTTCAATGCATGTGATATTGATCAGACCTGTGATGCAAACAAGGTTGTACATGTATATGTAATTAAAGGTTTGATGAGATCCTGAGGCATCCTTGTGGTAGAGAGCTTCCACTGTTTGAAACTAATTTGGTTTAAGCAAATGACAGGCCTGGCCAAACAGCTACAGATAGTTAAAAATGTGGGAAAATATACTTTCCTCTAGTTCAAGGCTGCGACAAGTCCACATGTCTATTGGTTCATGGCTAAAGGAGACACATCAGAAAACACCAGTTTGGGAATCCTCAAGAATATATTTTTTACAAGTATGATGGGTAGCGATAATTACATGACATGGAACCAGTTGTCAAATGTGTTTATAGGCATGTTCTGTGGAGACAAATAGCACACATTCATAAATCTCAGCAAAAAATATTCCAAAAATGACAATAATAATGTGTAAATAATAATAATGTAATAAACCTTTTCCATAGTGATACAAAATCTCATCTAAAAGTAGTCTGGTTGATAAATTCCTGAAGTGTATTCACCATACTGTGAGCTGTGTCATTCTATAAGTTCCTATTTGCAATGTTCGAGGCTTCAAGCCTCAACCATTAATACCTCTCTATGACCATTGCCTTTTGTTCAAGCTATCACGTTTTTCCTTATTGCAGTCCTGCAGTCAATATTGTTTCGTTCGTATACTTATACATTGTTGGTACTTCTTAATAGCTAAAAGCACACCCCCACACGAATATATATATATAACAACATTGGTATAGGTGCGTGAGCAGCTTTCTGTAGGTGGGACAAAGCATATATGTGTGTAGAGTTAGGTGTCGTCCATTCAAGCGAAAATGGCGTTGCCTACGGCAGGTGAAATGAGAATACCCACTCATCCTGTTCATTATTTTCAAGGATAGTTGAGTCATTGAGTCATTTTATGATCCTGAAAGGGAGAAATTTATGGAGAATGTGATTCGGATCTATTTGGATATTTTGGGGCTAACAAACAAATAGGAGGCCATTTTGAAATATCTTTATCTTACTTTGATCTTGATGAAGATATAGATTGAATATCCTTTATTGAGCATGGTATATAGTGCAGAATGATAAGCAGAGAGGACTAGGTGACCTGTTAAGGGTGAACATGGGTGGTTTTGGCCCATCCTCTTTGTAACTTGAAACTTCCTTGAGGAGTCTGGTTGTAATTTGGTGTAAAATTTGAACCAAGTTTCTGAATACAATACTACCTATTTGTTTCACAACAATTATGCTATACCTGTACTTTTTAGAGACTTACTCAGAGTATAACTGTTTACTTGACCAGCTCACTAAATGTTTCACTTTTCAAACTTTACAGGAGTTCAGAGGCCTATGAAGATTACTTTTATTGTATTGAAATGTACAGACCATAAATCTTGGACTTTTGACATTTGGGTAATGACAAGAACCTTTGACCGTGTTAACTTTCATACTGCATTTCAATAACTGTTAGAAGTTAGAAGTCCATCTGAAATTTCATAGAAATGATTTTTACTTAAAATACTTGTACTTATACTTTTCAAGTGTAATTTAGAAAAAGTTAATTTGGTCTAGGCACATCTTATATGTCCATTGTCTTGTTTCTTATATAGTTCCCATTTGGCACAAATTTGTTAATTCTGGGAGGATTTTAGATATGACAGCAGTAAGCTTTTGCCATTTGTCCACATAAATTATGATGAAGATGTATGAGTGAAAGATGTAGGTGACCGAAATGTTAACGATGCTGTGGTTTGTGCGAAGTATATTAATAAGCAAGGTGTCAGCATATCACCATGCCATGCTCCATCACTTGTCTAACTGGGACCCTTCTGGTGTCCAGGTAATAGACAGATGAGGAATAGCTGATGAGTCAAATTGAGTTTACCTTCAGTTTATCACTATTTGGACTAAATTTGTTAAATTTCCAGCAGAAATCCCAGAAAGGTCAGACAGGTGTTTGCAGTTGAAACAATCAGTTCATGCAAAGGTTAATGCAGATTTCTCATTCTCAGTCATATGTTCTTGTATTATTTATGGGAATGTATTGTCAAGGTAGATATAGCACTGTCAGTATTTCTATAGAAAGTTGTAGCAATGGAAGCGAATGGATTGGCTGTAATCTTGAAATAACATACTTTCAGATTCAGAAAGATTACGTATAAATGTATGAGATTATATCCATAATGCTACTGTATTGTTTTCATTTGTTTTGTCGTCATATGAGCGAAATATTCTCAAGCACGACGTTAAACCCAATTTCACCTCACCTCATCTCATTTGTTTTGATCAATTTTGTATTTACATTGTCATGTAAACTTGCTTGAATGTTTTGTTAATGCAACAAAATATTATTTCATTTTTTGTATTATTGTATCTGAAATGCATATAACTTTGCATATTAATTTTTTTTATTTCAAACATGCTTTACACATGTAGTTAAAAGATTATATATTTAACAACTCTATGAATATTAATAGAAAAAGAATGTATTCATGATCAGGAATCAAGAAAAGGCTTTAGAAATGATTACATAGAAAATATTTGAATGAGACTTCGCATGTTCTTTACCCAGCCATGCATTAGCTACAAATGTACCTGTGTCAAACTCGGCTTTCTAAGATTGCCATGTTTACATATCTCCTTTCTGATCACTGGCCTGTATGGCCTTTGTGTCTGCAGCTCACCCTCTGAAGTGTGGGTGTGGGAAATTCAGGATATAGTGCTGTTGGCTATTATATCATTTATAGCGCAGTCAAATCAATTTGAATACATTTAGGTTTATGACGGCCTTCGAGGTATATAGGAAAAGAAAGAGTAGGGTTGAAAAAGTGATTCAAGGAAACTTGAAGATTATGTTGAATTGAGTTTGTGGTCACCATGACCTGTATTTGAAATATGTCATGAGCAAATGAAGAATCTTATTGAACCTTTCCAAAAGAAATAGTAAGATATTACGAAACTTGTAACTTTGCAATCTTTCATGCCTTCTGTTCTTCCTTCCATTTACTGTTTAGAAATCCTCGACACTAATTCCTGAAAATTGAATACGTTATATTTATCCAATGCACACTGTACCTTTGAATGTTCATTAAGGATAGAAAATGTAACTTCAAAAGATGGAAATAAAAAAATAAAAATGAGGTATTCAAGATAGATATGTACTGGTTATCATGTTAATATTTAGGCATATGTCAGGGTACTTAATGAATATTTTGATAAAT